AACCAAAACAGTCTTTTGACAAATATTAATTAGCAAAATAATATTACTGGAAACCAATGTAAAAAACACACTTTTCCAATATCAAAGAAAACGGGTTGTTATTTTTTTTCCAAAACAATGGACGATATATAAGCCCCATTCAGTGTTAAACACTATATCTTTTACAGTTGATGTAAATATCTGACATACGCAGTATTGCTTGTTCAGTCTAATCATCTGCACACTAAAACCTGTACATTCCTGCATTAATCTAATGTTGCTTAATTGTCATACCCTTAATTTAAACACTAATATGATTTTCAGACACCACTCCCCGTTTGTATAATATCATCAGGCTCTTTGAGCGTCTTTAGAGTCTTTATTAGCATAAAGGTGGCCTATCGACCTTAATATGTTAATAGCTTTACAACTAATCTCTGAGTCTTTACGAGACCTCGTCTGGTCAGTAACTCAAACACGTGTAGCGTTACAGTCACTACATGAGATACAGCTGCACCACATTTCTTATGTACTCATTGTACTTTAATACAAACCATCAGTAATTAGCTACTGCTTAGCAGGCAAAACATTTCTCAGATTAAGGGAAGATACTACAGGCTTAAACAGTGTTTTTTCATGCACTGGTCAGTTTTGAGATTTTGGGCTGTTTGGCTTTTCATAATCAGTTAACTAGAAAAGTATGATAATATAGTAAATTTCACCCGGTGTGTCTTGCCTTCAATTTGGGGGGGGAGTGAAAAAAAAAATTAAAATGGCATGAAAACCTCAATAAAATAGCATAACAGGCAATCTCTGGTGTGGCATGGTGCATTATGCGGTTAGTAATGGCCATCGCCGGCGGGAAACACAGTTGCCATTGGGGGTGTCGCCATATACCGATATTGACGATAATAGTGTTATTTAAAAAACAAAATTTCGCTATCGTGTTAATTAGGGGTGTCATGATATACCGGTATTAGCGACAACCATGATATTTCAAAAAGTACACAGCGCTAAACTCTCACGTGTAATTTGTTTCATTCACACCCGACACCAGAGGGCGCCATTGCACAGGAAGTTCACGAGGGAGACTCATAGGAGTAATAAAACAAATGACTTTCGCTGTAGCTGAATAAAATGCAGAAAGAAATGTTTGACTGATGAAACGTGAAGAGAATTGACACACGATTACAACAGTATATGGTTTTTCTGTGTTCAAGTCATCGCTGGCATTTTTCATAAGGATAATGTTTATTTATAATGCAATGCTAATCGACATAGTCTTTAGCACTGTGTAGAATACTGTACAGAAGCCTCATCAGTTCACAGAAAGAAGTTATTTCAAAACTCGACTGACACTATAATTCGAGTTTGGGGTAAAAAAAGCTTTAAATCAATTGAACCATTTGCTTCGCAAAATGATTTACTGATTCGAAATCACTCAAAACGCCACACGCTGGTGATGCCTGCTGGTCATAACGTGGTCATAAATGCAACAAAAACTCAGGCCAAATTATGCATAAATAAAGACCCAATGCAAAATGTTTAATTGAAATTACAATATATTAAATGCAATTAACAAATCATCAAATACTATTAAATATGAAGTGTTTTTATAACCTGTTCTTCTATTAATTTGCAGGACTTTTTGTTTGCTTTATGAAGGGCTCGTCTAAACATCTTTAACAACTACTCCCATATATAGACTTCTATAGAACAATTTCTCCTATAAGACTTCTATAGATATTGCGATATATTGTCACCGTGATCCCCCGATAATCGGTGCACTTAAATAGATACCGTGATATATCGTTATCGTGATCCCCGATAATCGGTGCACTTCAATAGATATCGTGATATATCGTTATCGTGATTTTAATAATTCTATGATTAATAATATTACCTCTTATAATAATAATTAATATTACATATAGCATGTAAAATAAAACATTATATTAAAATTATATGAATTATTATATTACATATACGACGTTCTGAATACATCGTATATTATGTTTAGGATATTATATTAATTTTAATATTCATTATTGAATATTTATATACAACAATTAAAAATACTAATTTAATGAGTATATTCTAAATATTATAATATATTTAGAATATTATATTACTATATACATTTTTATTGCATGAATATATGTAATAAAACAAATGACTTTCGCTGTAGCTGAATAAAATGCAGAAAGAAATGTTTGACTGATGAAACGTGAAGAGAATTGACACACGATTACAACAGTATATGGTTTTTCTGTGTTCAAGTCATCGCTGGCATTTTTCATAAGGATAATGTTTATTTATAATGCAATGCTAATCGACATAGTCTTTAGCACTGTGTAGAATACTGTACAGAAGCCTCATCAGTTCACAGAAAGAAGTTATTTCAAAACTCGACTGACACTATAATTCGAGTTTGGGGTAAAAAAAGCTTTAAATCAATTGAACCATTTGCTTCGCAAAATGATTTACTGATTCGAAATCACTCAAAACGCCACACGCTGGTGATGCCTGCTGGTCATAACGTGGTCATAAATGCAACAAAAACTCAGGCCAAATTATGCATAAATAAAGACCCAATGCAAAATGTTTAATTGAAATTACAATATATTAAATGCAATTAACAAATCATCAAATACTATTAAATATGAAGTGTTTTTATAACCTGTTCTTCTATTAATTTGCAGGACTTTTTGTTTGCTTTATGAAGGGCTCGTCTAAACATCTTTAACAACTACTCCCATATATAGACTTCTATAGAACAATTTCTCCTATAAGACTTCTATAGATATTGCGATATATTGTCACCGTGATCCCCCGATAATCGGTGCACTTAAATAGATACCGTGATATATCGTTATCGTGATCCCCGATAATCGGTGCACTTCAATAGATATCGTGATATATCGTTATCGTGATTTTAATAATTCTATGATTAATAATATTACCTCTTATAATAATAATTAATATTACATATAGCATGTAAAATAAAACATTATATTAAAATTATATGAATTATTATATTACATATACGACGTTCTGAATACATCGTATATTATGTTTAGGATATTATATTAATTTTAATATTCATTATTGAATATTTATATACAACAATTAAAAATACTAATTTAATGAGTATATTCTAAATATTATAATATATTTAGAATATTATATTACTATATACATTTTTATTGCATGAATATATATGCTTGCAATAATAATTGA